TAGACTCCCGTGACGTCCGGTTCGACGAGTCAGTGTCCTACTACACCCGGTACCCCTGTCGAGGTCTCCCGGTTCCCCCTCCCCCCCTTTTCCTCGCACCCTCTCTTCCCCCTGCTCCCGCTCCTCCGGTACCCCCACCCCCCCCTGGTCCTGCCCCGTCATATGTGTCTCGCGCTACCCCTCTACCCTCGATCGCGCGTCAGGTAGCGTCTCCCTCCCCGCACTCCTCCTCACAGTCCCCTCAGCAGCCTTCGGTACTTCCGCGACACGTTACTGTGGACTCGGTTGGTGTTGGAGCTGGAGGTGCAGCCACTGGCGGTACTCGGTCTGGGGGTGCTCGTTCGAGGGGTGCTGGAGTTGAAAATACTGGCGCAGGTGGCGCTAGCGCTGGGGGTGCTGGAGCTGGAGGTCCTGGCACTGGAGGTGATAGTCCTGGGGGTGCTGGAGCTGGAGGTGCTGGCACAGGAGGTGCTGGTTCTAGGGTTGCTGGTCCTGGAGGTGCTGGTTCTGGGGGTGCTGGTGCTGGAGGCGCTGGCACTGGAGGTGCTGGTTCTGAGGAGACTGGAGCTGGAGACACTGGTTCTGCGGAGTCCACTCTGCCTCCCCACCGCCACGACACACGTCTCCAGGCGGCCCGTCGGCGTGAGGGTGAGGAGCAGGTGCTGTTGGAGAGGGAGCGGCAGGAGTTGCGGCAGTTGGACCTGCTGGAGCAGCAGCGGTAGCAGCGGCAGCAGCAGCAGCAGCAGCAGCAGCAGCCGTCGCAGCAGCAGACACCGCTGCCACAGCCGCGCCCACCGCAGCTCCCTCTGGAGCGGCAGTTGTTCCCACCCGTGAGTGGCCTTCGGGCCCTTGGTCTTCCCTCCTCTCCTCCTGTTCACACTCCGTCCCCTCCAGCGTTTGGTCCCACGTTTCCTCCTCCTGACGACAGTCCGGCGGTCTGGTCTTCTCCTCCACCGCAGTCTCCTCCACCTGGTGTCCCACACTCTCGTGCCCGTCCCTGTCCTCCGCGTGCTCGTCACTCGTCTCCCGTTACCGACCTCCGCACTGCCCTCCTTTGTTCGTCTCTTCGTCGTCCTCCTCCTGAGTCCGTTCTCATGTCTCCTCCTCCGTCCTCTCTCCCTTTCCCCCCTACTCCTGTCACTGACTACTACCGCGCTGTTCGTCCTGTTGTCTCTCATGTCCTCGCCACTCATGTCACCGACTCTCGTTTCCCTCCGTCGTCTGTCTCGGCTCTCACTGCCGCTGTCGCTGAGTTTGCTGCCGCCAGTCGCCTTGAATACACCACCCGTGTGGTGCCAGCTCCTCCCTCTCGTCCTCTATCCGTCGGGGGTGAGTTTGCCCTTGGCTGTGACGTCCTAGAGGACAGAGAGTCTGAGCTGGAGTACTGGGCAGCTGCTTCTCCCTCTGTCTGTGCCACGCTGCTATCCCCTGAGGGAGACCCCGACGCCCTTGACATACCGACTCCTCGTACTTACCGCGAGGCAGTGTCAGGGGCGTGGGCCTCTCAGTGGAAAGCGGCTATGGCCTCGGAGTTAGCGTCTTGGAGATCCACAGGCACCTACGTCGACGAAGTTCCCCCTCCCAGGGCCAACGTAGTCGATGGCATGTGGCTCTTCAAGGTGAAGCGGCCGCCTGGTTCACCGCTTGTGTTCAAGGCGCGCTACGTGGCTAGGGGTTTCAGTCAGCGTGAGGGAGTTGACTTCTTCCAGACCTTCGCCCCGACCCCGAAGATGACTACTCTTCGGGTGTTACTGCACGTAGCAGCACAGCGAGACTACGAGCTGCACTCCCTTGACTTCTCTACTGCGTTTCTCTAGGGCCGACCACATGAGGAGATCTGGCTGCGCCGCCCTCCTGGCTTCACAGACACCTTCCCACCTGGGACCCAGTGGAGCCTGAGACGGCCAGTCTACGGTCTCCGCCAGTCGCCCCGTGAGTGGCACGACACTCTTCGCTCCACGCTTCGTGACCTTGGGTTTCGTCCTTCCTCTGCCGACCCGTCGCTGTTTGTTCGCACTGGTTCCACTCCTTTCTTTAAACTAGTGTACGTCGACGACTTGGTCTTTGCCACAACAGACAGGGCAGCTCTGGCTCAGGTGAAGTCCGAACTGCAGAAGAGACACAAATGCACTGACCTAGGTGAACTGCAGCGCTACCTTGGCCTGCATATCACCAGGGACAGAGCCGCTCGCACCATCACACTGACTCAGTCACACATGGTGCAGCAGGTCCTTCGGCGGTTCGACTTCCAGTTCTCCACTACACAGACCACACCTCTTGCTGCTGACCACAGACTCACTGGTCCCTTTCCGGACGAGCCCTTTGAGTCTAGTGGTCCCTACGCAGAGCTGGTGGGCTGCCTCATGTACCTGATGACTTGTACTCGGCCGGACCTCGCCTTTCCCCTTAGCATCCTTTCTCGCTTTCCGGCGACGCAAGGAGTGCAAGGGGGAGCAGGGGAGGTGGGGAGCGACGGAAAGGTGCGTGGGAGACCGGTGACAAGCCCGTGAGTGGTCATCCCGCGGAGGCGGGGGATCGACGGGTGGCCAAGGCGGTGGTGCCACAAGACGGTCCGGTGGGTGAGGGACCGACAGGAGCAGGACGCAGCGACAGGACTAGACAGCACGACCTGACTAGACACTGCAACTGGACAAGACACGACTACCTGGCTAGACACAGCAACCGGATTGGACACCAGGACTGGAGGGGATGCAACGACCTGAGCGGAGGACGCAACCGGGGAGCGCGCCGTGTGGAGAACGTAGAGACCGGAGCGGGGCTCCCTGGTGAACGTGGCCAGAACAGCACCTGTGGCAGCGTCTGTACAGACTGCAGTCCTCCCACCCCCTACAAAGGTAACCGTGATCCCCCTGTCCTGGAGGTAACCAACACCCACCAAGTTCCGAGTGAACGAGGGGATGTGGAGGCCGCGCAGGACACCAGAGGGGACCACAGGACACAGGAGGGTAGTGGAGCTACGCGCAACGGCTGGTCCTGAGGTAGGATCAGCCAGAGCCACCGAAACAGGAGTGAGGAGTGGCGTGAGGGTCGTGTGGTCGCGGAAGAAGCACTGAGACGCACCAGAGTCCAGCGTGAAGGACAGGCACGCCTCAGCGGGAGGGTCACCTGTCCTAGTGGCTACACAAGCACCTAGAGCAGCAACACAAGCACCTAGACTAGAAAGGCACAAGTCTACACTAGCAGGAGGCAAGCAAGCTAGTCTACGAACACGCGAGCACACAGATCCATCAGCACTATAGTCAACATCAGCATACAAAGCATGCTGACGAGCATTGTCCATGGACAGATCAAACACATCAATCTTACGGGCTAACAGGCGAGCCCAGCGAGGCGTGGTCATCGTAGGGCCCCAACGAGCACGGTAGAGGTCGTCGAGGTGGCGGAAGCACCGCGCGGCAGAGTGGTCGTCACGACCGCAGAGACAGGGGCTGCCAGGTCCGGTGAGGCACCAGTGGGTGCAGGGGCCAGTGTCACGGCGAAGGGGGCGAGGGGCCTAGCTGGAAGTGCTGCCGTTGCGGCCGGTGCTCCCTGGTCCTCCGGACCCCACTGCGGCGGGGGACCCCAGTGCTGCTGCGGACCCCACTGCAGTGGGGGCCCCCACTGCTGGAACTGCTGCGATGCCTGCTGATGCTGCGGTCCCTGCTGCTGCTGCTGTCCTTGCTGTGACTGGTGCTGCTGTGGCTGCTGCTGCTGGGGGCCAACACCCCCGCCGGTCGGGCCACCACCAGTGGGTGGGCCTGTCTGTCCTGCACCTCCGCCAAGGCCCCCTCCTCCTGGTGCACCACCGCCGCTGCCGCCGCCGCCGCCGCTCCCACCTCCACCTCCACCTCCGCCGCCGCCTCCACCGCTTCCACCTCCCCCCTTCCCGCCCTTCTTGCCACCCTTGCCCCGTTTCTGTCAGTCTGCGGCGGAAACGGCAGCAGTGTCCTCAGAAACCGACACAGCAGCAGAAGCGCGGGTAGCAGTGAAAGTGGGAAGCTGAGGGGCGGCACACCCCGCAAAGAGACGGGGGGCCACTGCGTCAGTGGCGGAGGCAACGGTGAGGAGACTACTTTCGATCGTCCCGAGAGCGGTCTCAAGGAGATCGATGGTGAGCTCAGTGGGGTGCTTCTGGAGAAGCGAGTCGCGAGTAGTGGTAAGGCGGTCAGGGAGGCGGGTGACTAACCAGTGCACAGTGAGCCACATGGGGGGGGGAGCAGCAAGAAGCTGGGCGTCGGTACAAGCCGCACGGAAACCGGCGTCAAGTGAGCGGAGGTGAGTCACTAGGTCGGACACAGTCGCAAACGAGCCTAGGTCGGGAAACACGAACGGCATGAGGAGGTGACTGAGGGAGGCAGAGGAAGGGGTGGAATAGCGGGCAACAATAGCATCCCAAACCCCTTGTGCTGTCTCCACATTGTCAAAGTGGGCGGCCTCAGTCGGGGGGAGAAGCTCCGACAGCGTGAGAGCGGCGGTAGCGTCACGAGAGAGCCACACGTCTCGTGCCAGGAACCGACGCTCGTAGTCCGCCTGGGCCGTAGGAGTCGGCTCCGAGGCGGTCGGCAGGGCGGCGGGGGACGGGGGGGCCTTGAGGGCATCAGAGGCGTGGGCCCACAGAGTGGCGCCGTCCTGACGCTGGCTGGTAAGGAAACGCATGGTCTGGCGCTGCCAGGTACCGAACTCTATCGGGCGTCCCTCCGCATCGAAACGAAGGCGACGGGACTCCATAACGGAGGCCATGCTAGAGGCGGCCGGAGCTCGGCGGAGGCGGAGCTAAGAACGAGGAGGGAAGCCTAGGAGCGCCAGGTGTGGCGCGGTGTGAGACCGGCGGAGCTAGAGGCTAGGAGCACGGAGGGACCTAGTCTAGGCACGAAATGGCGGAACTCCAGCTACATGCACTAGGGGCGAGGAACTAGCAGGAACACTGGTCTAACCTAGGTGGCCGGCGAAAGAAAGCGGCTGCCAGCCGCTGAGGGCGAGACCAGTGGCAAAAGAGTTGTCTAGGGCCCCGCGCGCAGGGCGGTAGTGGGGTTCGGGCGCGTGCCAATCGCGGGTGGGAACGGGCTAACGCGGAGGCGCGAGCCTAAGTGAGGGCGAGGGCACGGTGGGCTCGGGGGGAGGGCGCACGACGTTAGGAGAGGGCGGGGAGGAGGGTGCGTGACGGTAGGAAGGGGTGGGGAGGAGGGCGCGACGGTGAGACAGGGGCGGGGAGGAGGTTGTCGACGGTGGGAAGGGGCGGGGAGGGGAGGGCGACGCGACGGGCAGGGGGAAGGGAGGCGACGCGACGGGCAGGGGAAGGGGAGGCGAACGCGACGGGCAGGAGGAGGGGAGGCGACGCGACGGGCAGGGGGAAGGGAGGCGACGCGACGGGCAGGAGGAGGGGAGGCGAACGCGACGGGCAGGGGGAGAGGAGGCGACGCGACGGGCAGGGGAAGGGGAGGGGGGGGGGGGGGGGGCGACGCGACGGGCAGGGGGAGGGCGCGACAGTGGAAGGGGCCGGGCTAGGCGCGCGTTGAGGGCGCGGAGGGCGCGGAGGGCACTAACGTGCGGAGGGCGCGGAGGGCGCGGAGGGCACGAACGTGCGGAGGGCGCGGAGGGCACGGAGGGCGCGGAGGGCGCTAAGGCGCGGAGGGCGTTAAGACGCGGAGGGCGCGTGGGCGCGGAGGGCGCTAGGGCTAGGCTAGGGCTAGGATAGGGCTAAGGAACTCGAACCTCCTCTGATACCATCTCAAGAGTAGAATGCAACGGAGTGATGAGTTTAAGAAACAAGGCAGTACAAATAGGCAACCCTAACTGTGTTATACTCTCTAAGGAGCAACTCACTACAGCCTATCACAAATATCAACATTTGACAAAAAATAACGTTTTATTATAAGCGCAGGTGCGCTTATATCCGGGGTGATACGGTATGTTGCAGTTCAGTGTCTAAAATCTCCAACTCACAATCTAGTGTGGTTGCTTGATTGATCTAGAAATGGCAATCCTCCTTTTCCAATCTGGAAGACAGATGCTGATCTCCTAACAACTACCGTACATCTGGAATTCACAAAATCAGGGTGTACCTAAAACGGTCACCGCTTATTGGTCAAACGCACACCCAACAGCAGGCAGAAATACAGCACTAGCTAGCAAAAAGACATATCACTCAGTATGAGCAGCACCAGAAGAGGGGCTGGCAAAACCAGCAAGGGACACGAGGCATGACCCAAGCTTGCTCCAAAATTTGCCAACCTATCCCTGACCTATCTCGGTGCAGCAGCATCTTCGGTAAATGCACACAAAAGCCCGCTGTTGGATCTCATTATTGGCAGAATATGGCTCCAGACAATCCCACAATCAGCTGCCATCTCCGAACATACCAGACAGACAAACGCTCAGCGTAGATTGCCTTGCGCGTTCATGATGTCACGACTCGATGCTCTTCGCCGGGAATAGCAGAAAGCAAAATAAAAGCTTCAGTTCCTGCGTGAAGGGTCGGTGAAGTGTAGCAGCTGGTGTGGACGGACACCCGATCCATAGTCTTGTTCTGGAGCCTCCAGAGTATAGCGCAAAGAACCAGCCAGCAGGAATGCTATGGAATCTCAAATCATCATCCACAGAACTCCCTCTTACAACCACGTGCTGCATCTCGGGAAGCCAAACAAAGCTGTGGTGGTGCTTCCAAAACAGCTCCATCTTGTTGCCGTTCTGCACAATTCTCTCCCTGAAGCTGCTCCATGCACAATCTCTCAACCAATCCGCGTCATCTTTCAACCCACGCTTCCCATAGTCACAGCCAGCGCCAGCGAAAACTGAACCTGCTGAGCCGCCAACCGTCCGAAACTGCTTCCACGAATGCCAGCGCCAGCGCCAGCACCTGGGCGGTGCTTGCCTATGCTGCGGTGCGCCGCAGCGATGGGGATGGCGCAGGGACTGTGGCGGAGAGCAGAGGCGGAGGAGAGGCGCGAACGACGGCGCATTCGGCGGAGGCAGAGGCCTGGCGGCGGTTTCGCGAGGCCGTGAATGGTCTGGATGGCTGACACGTCAGCGAGCGACGAGAAGGTCCGAGATTTGCCTCCGAAGTGGGACGAAAGGCTTCGTCTGCAGGTTAGCAAGGGGAAGGAGAGACGCAATTGCAGGTTAGTCGCTTGAATGACGTACCGCGATCACTCGGCAAGAGCGAAATGAGAGGCTTAAAACGTATGGAAAAAGGCGAATCAATAAAAGGAATAAAAACGAAATAACGCGCTTACTGTGAGGGAAGGGAGGCCATGGCCGACACTTTCTTCTTCAGGCTCAGCGGCTTAAATCCCGAGTCTGCCTCTCCATCACCCTCCTCATCCTCGTCCTCGTTATCATCCTCCTCGTCATCCATGTCCGTACTGCTGCTCTCAGTGCCACACGCCACCAAAGACGACTCCGACGAATTCTCGGAAATAGGAGGTGACGCGGCGCCGCCATTTAAACCGCAATTCGCGCTGGAGTCCCAGAAGCTGGAATTGAGCACTTGGAACGACGAAGGGAAGGCCGCAGAAGATGGCGGAAGGGCGGGAGTAGCTGCGGAGTCGGCCGCCGGTGACGCAGGAAGGTTCAGGTCCAATTCGCTGGGATTCCGAAGCCACGGAAGCATGCCGCTGCTGAAAACAGGCGCGCTTTCTCCGGTTCCCGGGGAGCTACCGCCGATGGGAAGGGACGAGCCTGAAAAGCGCGGGGAAATTCTCGCCAAATCAAATGGGACGTTACCGTGTCCCAGTTGTTCCAACGGTTCGACGCCAGGCGACGCGGGAGATACTGGAAGCGACGCCTCCTTACGCCCATCAGCCGAGTTTTGAGGTGCCTCAAGAATTGCCTCGTTGGCCGCATTAGCCGATTCTTCAACGTTAAGACGAGCCATTAATTGCTCGCTTTCCACGCACGAAATTCTCCGAAAAGCATCCTGCTTTAGGAAGGGAAGAGGGTGCATGGCCTCCCGCTCCTTCTGCGGCTGCGGCTGTGGCTCGCTTGCAGTATGGCGGTGGCAGTGCTGATGCTGCTGCTGCTGGTGGTGCTGCTGCTGCTCGTGTAAGTGCATGGAGAGGGCTGAGAACTGACGGACGACATGCTCCTGCGACGGAGAGAGCAGCGGATGGAGCTTCAGCGACGCATAAGTGGGTTCGGATGGAAGCTCGGCTGAAGGAATATGCGAGCAGCGGGTCATGGCGAATGGGAAAGACGCGCTTTGGTGGACATCCCAACTGGACAACGTGGCGAACGACATGCTGTAAACTCGCTTTGGTGGAAGATAAAAAATGACAGTGCGTTATGAGCGGAGTATTCAACCTAAGGAGAGCATTAATTTGGATTCACGAAGCGGAATCTCAACGCTCGATCAGTCTCTAAATGGCTCCACTGCTGCTTCTTCACCGCTATATGTACCGGTTGCTCCAATGGTGGGTGGTAGGTTTTCTCTCCAAGCTACTGCCGTCGCACTCTGCACGGACTCTCTCTCTGGGGCCTGCTGCTTGTCCCCTTTATGGATCCGCTAATGGCACGGCACGATGAGGCGACCCTACTGTTGGTTCCGTTGGTTGCTGCTTTGCTGCTCTGCTCTGCTCCGCGCTGCTCTGGGGTAGGCGGAGGAACGCTCATGCCATGCCGCTCAACCAGCGGCAGGATGCAGGGGGGAGGGGAGAAGTCGAGCGGAGATTAGATGAGGGGAGGAAGGGAGGAGGGGAGAGGTGAGGAGGGAGGGGAGGCGGGTGGAACAGAAGAGAGGGAGGAGACGAGATGCGGGGAGAGAGGGAATGAAGGCCTGGTGTGGAGTGGTGGCGGTGTGGATTCGGAAGGTGTGGTGTGGCGCAAACAGTGGAGGTATCTTTGCTTGGCTGCGTGGCTTGCGATTCTGAAACGCGCTCAAAACGGACTGGCTGCTTCTCTTCCTCTCATTCGCCAGGCCCTTTATCCACAAATCCAGCACATCGTGCGGAGCGACTCTCCGCAAGCGTTCCGCTAAGGGGTTCCTGCGGAGGACTGCGAAGTTCCGCACCAGCATGTGCCCCGTGACGAACTGCGCAGAACTGGTCAGGCGGGGAAATCGTTTGGCTGGTCGGAGAGCTGATGGTGTGGCGTTGCGACATCACACGAAGCCAGGGTCGCTGTACAAGTCAGAAGTGAGTGCTCGGAACGAATCGCGATGAAATGGTTGTTTGGCCACGGACCATCCAGCGACACAGTTACCACGTGTTGCGATGTCACCACGTCAGCGGGGGGACCACACTCGTCTCATCGTGCATTGAGATGGCCTCAGATTGCACGTCAGCTGACAAAGATTATGCTGGATAGTTTCCAGGTGTGGAGTCTGACCAAGCAAATCGACTCTTCACGCGAATTTCATGGGATTGCCAGCACAGAGCCGGGTCAACTAAAGCAGCCCGATCCACTCATACACGCAGAGCAATCCAAATTCCAGCGTCCCGCACTCCTGGGGGTGGATGACGCGCACGCACAAAGAACCTGGAAACAGACAAACGTCACGCCACGTAGACTCAAAGGCACTGAGGAGATCAACTGCTGGCAAGCTTGGCTACGAGCAGGGCCTGTCCTCAAATTTGGGAAACACGCGCCATTTCAACCTGTCAGGTATCGACTGGCGTAATGAAGCATGGATGCTGACGGAGACTGTTTCTGGTCCGCTGAGATTCGCTTCAGGAATTGCAAAAACCACTAAACTCGACAATATCGTACCCGCTGACATTAGAACCACTTAATTACAGCACAAATCTAATGTAAGAAACTTTTCTCGTTACTCCACATCATTCTCATTACCCTATGCAGCAACGACCAACCCTATGCATACATCAAACCCAAATAAACACTATCCGGACCTATTACGGTACGGTATGCCTAAACCTTTCCTGAACATACGGGTTGACACCACAGCGCACCCAAACTCTCGCACCATATGCTACCCCTGGAATCGCATAGTTCACTTTTATTTTCCTCAACTTCAGATCCCCGTTCGCTGGTTCCAATGCATGTGTAATACCTAATCAAAAGCCCAACGAAACCTGTCTACACAACATGGCAGCTACGTATATGCACAAGTTGTAAATGAATGGGCAGGACCAGCGTCAACAAATCAATTTTGTACAGAACTTCGGCTTTGCCGCTGAAAACACACCTTCCATCCAAAGCTCCAGCAGCTACTCTCCATCAGATGTTGCTCCCATTTTCATTTGCTTCCGTAATCTGAGGGGACCGAGCATCACTCGGCACAGCTGCTCCTCCTCCACAGGCTTTGTCATGTACCCATCCATGCCCACCCGCGCACACCGTTCCCTTGTCCCCGCACCAATATCCGCAGTCAGCGCAAATATCAGCACCCTATCCATCTCTGGAACTCGCCTTTGCTGCTGATACTGCTGCTGCTGCTGCTGCTGCTGCTTCTGTACCTGCTGCTCCTGCACACCCTGCCTTTGCTGCTGATGTTGCTCATTCCTTTGCTGAACTTGACTGGGCCGCTTCACCCCTCCCTCTCCTCCCTGTTTCCCCTCCTCTCCCAACAGTGATTGCTGCTCCACAACCTGCTGCCGACCCCATGTAGGGCTAGTCAACTCCACCCACTTAGAGAACACCCCTCCCTTGGGAGTACCCACCCCAGGTCTCGCCTCCCCCTGGGTCCCCTCGCTAGCACTAACAGCCACTGCTTTAAGCCTTGCTACACTGCCTTGTGACAGGCTGTGTGCTGCTGCTGCTGATTGCTCGGCCTTTAGGTTTGGATTGCCATTCGCTGCTGTAGTTTGCCTGGCCTGTGCGGTTGGGTTGTGCTTCACCGCAAAGTGCCCATCCTTAGGAGATGGGGTGTGCCTATCCCCTGCAACAGATTGCCCACCAGCCTGCGAGGGTGGACAGAACCCCGCCCCTAGGCCGTCCAAATCCCCGCTGCTCACATGCCGTCGGTGCCGGTTGCTTCTGAGAAGCTGCAGCGGGGAGGCGGAGGTGCGGCCTTGGAACGAGGGCGAGCGAGTGTGTGTTGGGGCTTGCAGAGGGGATTTTCGAGGGTGCAGTGGGGATGGGGTTCTGGCGGGGGTGGGCGGCTTTGGTAAAGCTCCTCTTATGCATTCTGAAGAAGCTGCTGCTGATCCTGCCTTCGCTGCTACTGTTGCTGATGTGTCTCGCGCTGAAACGGGAAGGGTCGCCTTCAGTTGCTCCCTCTGCAGCACTGGCACAGCGTCCCTCACACACTCTCCCTCTCTCTCCGCCCTCCCACTCTCCGCTTCCTCCAACCTCTCCCTCTCCTCCCTCTCTGCACTTTCCGCCCTCTGTGCCCTCTCCTCTCTCTCCATCCGCCTCTCCCCTTCAAGCTTCCTGATGGCAGCTGTTGCCTCGCACCCATCCATCTCGGGCATCTGCAAAGTCAAGACACCTCATCAGTTAGCATGTATAAATAATAGCCACGTGATAAAAGTTGGGTCTTGAAAAACGATTTACCAGCCCAACAGTTCAACAGCTGAACATGTAGACACACAGTTCAACTTCTCGACAGACCCACCTGCACGTCCATGAGAACACAGTCGATGTTCCACCCTCCCGTGACACGCCAAGAGAGACACTGTAACACTGTAACAACTCAACACTGTAACACCTTAACAGACACACCCACCTGCACGTCCATGAGAACACAGTCGATGTCCCACCCGCCCGTCACAAGCCTCTCAATGGCCTTGCGGCCCCCATCCACCATCTCCACCCCCACGCCATACCGCTGCAGCATGCGCCCGATCACCTTGCGGTTCACCAGGTTGTCGTCCACCTGGCAATGCGTGTGGGGTTGGAGAGAGGGGTTGGAGGGCAGTGTTGGAAGAAGGATAAGAGGGACGAGCAGTGTACCGCTGCAGCATGCGCCCTATCACCTTGCGGTTCACCAGGTTGTCGTCCACCTGGCAATGCGTGTGGGGTTGGAGAGAGGGGTTGGAGGGCAGTGTTGGAAGAAGGATAAGAGGGACGAGCAGTGTACCGCTGCAGCATGCGCCCTATCACCTTGCGGTTCACCAGGTTGTCGTCCACCTGGCAATGCGTGTGGGGTTGGAGAGAGGGGTTGGAGGGCAGTGTTGGAAGAAGGATAAGAGGGACGAGCAGTGTACCGCTGCAGCATGCGCCCTATCACCTTGCGGTTCACCAGGTTGTCGTCCACCTGAGGGGGAAGAGGCAAGGAGGGGAGGGAAGAAGGGAAAGCTCAGGAGCACATTCAGGACACTCACTGGTGCCGTACCGCTGCAGCATGCGCCCTATCACCTTGCGGTTCACCAGGTTGTCGTCCACCTGATGGGGAAGAGGCAAGGAGGGGAGGGAAGAAGGGAAAGCTCAGGAGCACATTCAGGACACTCACTGGTGCCGTACCGCTGCAGCATGCGCCCTATCACCTTGCGGTTCACCAGGTTGTCATCCACCTGGCAGTGGATTGGGAGGAAGTGCAAAGTCAAGCGTTGGGAGAAGGGTAGGAGGAAAGTGCAGCGCTGCAGCATGCGCCCGACCACCTCCGGTTCACCAGATTGTCGTCCACCTGGCAGAGCGCGGGTGGGGAGGTGAGAGGAGTGCACTCGTGGGGAGAACGATGCATGCAGCATGGCTTAATCTGATCCAACCACATTGCGCTTTACCAGATTGTCCTTCACCTGGCCAGGCATGTTGAGGCGAGGAGTATAGTACAGAGCTGCCAGCAAGCAGTGCAAGTGCAAGTGCGGCCAGCAGCACAGCACAGTGAGAGAGAGCAGCGCAAGAAAGAAACCCGCGAGAGCACAAGACGTACCACCAGCAGTGACATGCCCTGCAGTGCCTCTTGCAGCATCTGGAAACTCGCTGACTTGGGCTTCTGCTGCTGCTGCTGCTGCTGCTGCTTACTCACTGCTCCCCCTCCTCCCACAGCAGCAGCGAGAGCAGCACGGGAAGCAGACGTGGTTCGGCTGTCCCGGCCTATCGGCCGCACCCCTCCCTCCGCGTATGCTTCCTCTCTGTCCGCCCCACCCACGCCTGGCAGCCCACTCTTGGCTCTCCGCAATGAGCCAGCAGCAGGGGCAGCAGAAACAGCAGTTGCAGCAGCACCAGCAGCACCAGCAGCACCAGCAGCAGCAGCAGCAGCAGCAGCAGCAGCAGCAGCAGCAGCAGCAGCAGCAGCGGTTGCATAAGCTGCACCACCATTACCACCAACAGCAGCGGCACCAGCAGCGGCAGCAGCCACTGCTGCATCTCTTTCTGCCGCCGCCGCCGCCACTGCTGCTGCTGCTGCTGCTGCCACTGCGCTGGCCGCCCCTGATGGCGCTGAGTAAGCGCGTGCCGAGTCAAACCATGCTGAGCCACCTCGCGCTGAGTCACCTCCGGCTGAGTCCATCTGTGCCGAGTCACACCGTGATGAGTCAGCATGTGCCGAGTCACTCCGTGGTAGGTCCACACCTGTCGGATGAACCTGTGCCGAGTTCCCTCGCACGAGGCCCATGCAGCCACTAAAAGGCACCAGCTCACTCTCACTCTCCTCTTCCGCAGCACTGGCCGAGCCTGGCATGGCCGAGCCAGCACTGGCCGAGCCAGCACTGGCCGAGCCTGGCATCTGCTGCAGGCCCGGGGAAGCAACGCCTGCCCTTGGAAGGCCGGAGAAGGAGCGGATAGAAGCACTGGAGGCAGATGCGGATGGGGGGAAGGCAGTTGGGAAGACAACAACGTCCGCTGCTTCGGCTGACAGGGTGTCTGTGAGTCTGCCCCGGCTGCTCCCGCTGCTCTTGCTCTCGCCCCCGCTGCTACTGCCGCTGCTGCTGATGTGGATGTTGGTGTGGGTGCTGGTGTTGGGTTTGGTGTTGAGGTTGGCATTGGTGCTGCTTGCACCCACCTGCTGCTGCGAGTGCAGGTAAGCGTTCCGGTCTATCCTATCGAAACAGGGGGCGTAACTGGCTGCAGCAGCATCTGCAGCACCAGCAGCAGCAGCACCATCAACAGCACCGTCAGCAGCAGCAGCACCGCCGCTGCGGTCCATGACCTGAGCCAAGCACCCCATGAGAGCAGCATACCTCACCGGCTTCACCAGCACCGCATCAAAGCCCCTCCTCCTCGCCTCCCCCTCCTCCACCCTCTCCTGTGTCACCAGAATCGCCGCGTCCCACTGAGGTCCCCTGTGGAACACACCACGGGATACGGTCACGCCGCCACCCACCCCACCGCTGCCACCACCACCGCTGCTGCTCTTGCTGCCGCCGCTGCTGCTGCTACTGCTGCTTGCATGGACAGTACCAGCTACAGCTGCATTTCTGCCTGTAGCCGTATCATGCGGCTGCTGTTGCTGCTGCTGCTGGCGCCACAGCCAATCAGCTTCCACCAACACCACTCTACACCTCCCCCTCCCCTCTCCTCCTTCACCCGCCCTCTCCTCCCCTTCCCCCTCCCCTTCCCCCACAACCTTCACCCCAACCTGCTCCAAATAATTCTCCACAATTTCTCTCCTCACCGCATTCCCGTCCAACACGCGTGCCAAAACATTTCGGAACTGCCCGTCGCGGCACCCCGGCCGCAGCTGCCTGTGCCAGTCCGCCCCGTGGGTCGACTCTCTAGCCAGATCTGCCAGTGCTTGCAAATCCTTGGCTGACGCATTCCGGTCAAACCCCATCTGAAGCTCCACTGCTGATTGCCCCACGTTGCCTTCAACCCCCCCATACCCCCCCGCACCGGCAGAACCAGCGACACCCCAGTAACCCGGAAACGCGCCCATCCCATCGCGGCCGTTCGGGGTGATAGCCGCCGCAGCAGCCTCCGCCTCCTCAGCCGCACTCGCGCACGGCACCACAATGTCAAAGTAAAACGTCGTGCCGACCCCCGGGCGGCTGGAAAACGTCAGCTGCCCGCCCATGAGCTTCACGAGCTGGCGCGAAATGGCGAGACCGATTCCCGTGCCGCCGTGCGTGCGCGTGTTTGAGGCGTCTGCCTGTACGAAGGGCTTGAAGATGTGCCGCTGCACTCCGTAGGGTATGCCCACGCCTGTGTCCTCTACGGAGATCACCAGTCGCACGCTCTTCTGCAGGACGGTTACCACGGCGGCGCTGCGGTTACCAGCGGCGGCACCAGGGCCGGCAGCGGCACTGGCAGCGGCACCAGCAGGAGCTGAGGCAGTACCAGCAGCAGCAGCAGAGGGAGTGAGGCGAGAGCGCTGGTGGGCGGTGGCGGCTTTGGCTTGGGCGCGCAGGGCACAGATCGTGGCCCAACTGTTGCACGAGTCCACCGCCTCTAGCCCACTCAGCGTCGTGCTTGCTGCCATTGATGGGTACAGCCCTGCTGCTGCTGCTGCTGCTGCTGCTGCTGCTGCTGCTGCTGCTGCTGCTGCTGCTGCTGCTGCTGCTGGTGCGAGTGATGATGCTGCTGCTGGTGGTGATGATGCAGGGGGGGTGGCAGCGCCGGCAGCAGCGGTTGGAGTACGAGCAACAGAAGGGAGACTAGACGAAGATGCCGCAGCAGCGGCAGCAGCAGAACCGTCACCACCAGCACCAGCACCAACACCACCACCCCCCGATGGGCTTTCACTGAGTCTCCTTTCGATCCTCTTGAGATCTCCCGAACTCCCAGTCCCTACCCGGGTCAGCACCCTTCTCTCTCCTCGCATTCCACTCCCCCTGCTGACGTTCTCCCTAGCGCTTCCCGCACTTCCTGCGCCCTTGCTGCCCACCTGCACCGGTGACCATTCTATACACGTCCGCCAGGCATCGACCCCCACTCCTCCCCCGCACCCCACGCCCACCCCTTCCTCCCTCCCTGCCGCCCTGCTGCCACCTGTCATGCTCTGATTGGCCGGAGGGGTTCCCCTGGGTGAGATGCGGGGTTTGGATTGAGGGCTGGTGGTTTGGAGGCTGGGGGAGGGGAGAGGGACCACCTGTCCTGCCGACTTTGAATCAGATACCACCTGTCCTGTAGACCGTTGCTGTTCCACCTGTCCAGCAGACCGTTGCTGCTCCACCTGCCCTGCCGCCCTGGAATCAGACACGTCTCCGCCTGTTCCTGCTGCCTTTGCCTCTGCTGCTGCTGCTGCTGCTGCTGCTGCTGCTGCTGTAGTGGCTGTAGCAGCAGCAGAGCCTGTAACGGCAGCGGCTGTAGCGGCACTGGCTGCAGCAGCAGCAGCAGGAGGCGGAGGAGGGGGAGGGAATGCGGCTGTGGGGTTCGCTGTGGGCATGCGCTTGGCAACGCCTTTGAGCACAATGACCCGCCGAATGTCCTCTGTGAAGGGGGCCGTGCGCACACACACCAGGATGTGCCCTCGCTCCGTGAACTTGCATGCGTTGGACAGCACGTTGATCAGCACCTGGTGGGGTGGCAGTGGGGATTAGAGGGGGAGGGAGGTAGGGGGGAGGGAAACAAGGATGTGGCCTCGCTCCGTGAACTTGCACGCGTTGGACAGCACGTTGATCAGCACCTGGTGGGGTGGCAGTGGGGATTAGAGGGGGAGGGAGGTAGGGGGGAGGGAAACCAGGATGTGGCCTCGCTCCGTGAACTTGCACGCGTTCGACAGCACGTTGATCAGCACCTGGTGGGGTGGCAGGGGGGGCGGGGAGAGGGGGTAGAGAAACGAGGATGTGTCCTCGTTCAGTGAACTTGCACGCGTTGGACAGCACGTTGATCAACACCTGGAGGGGCGGCAGGGGGATGGGGTGAGAGATTAAGGGCGGATGGTAATGAAGACGCGTCCACGTTCAGTGAACTTGCAGGCATTGGACAGCACGTTGATCAGCACCTGGAGGTGGCAAGGAAGCAAGGGTGGATAACAGTTGAATGAAACCAGGTTCAGTGAATGTGGATGTTTTTATAAGCACACTGATCGCACTGCACTGCATTACAACGCATTAAACCGCACTACCCGCGCTGCACCACTGTATCGCATTCCCACCGCACTCCACCGCACTGCACCACATTACACCGCAACCTACCGCATTATACACCACCACAATTTACTGCACCTGTCGGAGCCTGAGCGAGCTGCGGAACAGAGAGGTCCACGTCTGCCGCCACCTCCACTTGCGGCTTCTCTCTAAATCGCTCCACAAACATGGTCAACACCTCATCCACTACACTTACCCGTACCACACTAACGCGCACTGTACCGCATGACGCCACACTATACCACACTGCACCGCATTCCACCACACTCCACCGCACCTGTCGAAGCCTGAGCGAGTCACCAAGAACGAGCTGCGGCACGGAGGGATCGACATACGCAGCCACCTCCACTTGCGGCTTCTCTCTGAATCGCTCCACAAACATGGTCAGCACCTCGTCCACGTCCCTCCGAATATCTAGGGGCGCCTTTTCCAGCACCATGCGGTTGGCCTGGGAAGGGTGTGCGTGAGTGCAAAGACAAACAAGCATACATGCGTGAGTGGCTCCACAAACATGGTCAGCACCTCGTCCACGTCTCGTAGAATGTCCAGAGGAGCTTTCTCCAGCACCATGCGATTGGCCTGGGAAGGGGGTGTGTGTGTGTGTGAGAGAACATGGATAAACACGCACACATGCACGAGTGGCTCCACAAACATGGTCAGCACCTCGTCCACGTCCCTCCGGATATCTAGAGGTGCCTTCTCCAGTACCATGCGGTTGGCCTGTGGGGTGAGAGCAGGGATGCATGGGAGGGAGACATGAGTCTATGAACACTCGCTCCACAAACATGGTCAGCACCTCGTCCACGTCCCTCCGGATGTCCAAAGGCGCCTTTTCCAGTACCATGCGATTGGCCTGGGGGTGTTGGGGTGAGGTGAGTACATGGATATACATGCACACATGCATGCATGAATCGATCCACAAACATGGTCAGCACCTCGTCCACGTCCCTCCGGATGTCCAAAGGCGCCTTTTCCAGTACCATGCGATTGGCCTGGGGGTGTTGGGGTGAGGTGAGTACATGGATATACATGCACACATGCATGCATGAATCGATCCACAAACATGGTCAGCACCTCGTCCACGTCCCTCCGGATGTCCAAAGGCGCCTTTTCCAGTACCATGCGATTGGCCTGGGGGTGTTGGGGTGAGGTGAGTGAGTACATGCATAAAAACGCACACACGCCAAACACCCTAAGGTGATGCGATGAGAGACGAGCGCCCGCCCACTGGTGTGAGTGCTGCCCTGGGGGCTTGTCATAGAGCTCTACTCAACCAGGAAACAAGCTGCCTTACTGCAAAGCTGCCTTAGAAAGTTTACCTCGGTCTTGGAGAGGTCAAGAATGTCGTTGATGAGTGACACGAGTGCCCTCCCACTGGTGCGAGTGCTGCCCCCTGCAAGGGTGTCCCTCGGTCATCAGAAAAACGTACCTCGATCTTGGAGAGGTCAAGGATGTCGTTGATCAGAGACACGAGCGCCCGTCCGCTGGTGCGATTGCTATGCTACCCTGCAGGTTGTCATAGAGCTCAACTCGAACAGGAGACAAGCTGCCTTACTATAGAGAGAGCGAGCGTACCTCGATCTTTGAGAGGTCAAGAATGTCGTTGATGAGAGACACGAGCGCCCGTCCGCTGGTGCGAGCCGTCTCGGCATAATCCAGCTGGGTAGCGTCCAGAGGCGTGTCCACCAGCAGATTCATCATGCCTGGCAGCATGGATGACAGAGGTAGGAGGAGAGAGGGAGGGTGCAGAGATCGGAGCAGACATGAGTGCATGCATCGATGGGACCACCAACATCGAAAAGGACAGCGTATCACTAAGGTTACAGATATTCGATAAGTTTGCAGCCGGTCAAGTCATTGATCTGTTGCATTTCATTTTTCGGTTCCGACTGCCGCTCGCCCATGCGTCACCACGAAGGAGCACGTGGAACGAGCTCTTCTCGAGCGAAGAAAGGGAGTCGCGAATTATGCTGACGATGACTGGGAGAGGAAGTTCAACGAGATATTAGGAGTGCATAGTTGAAGCTGTATCTTCTGCTTATTGAATAACTATGCAGTGTGACCTTCATTGGTGGGTTTTAAACCACCAATGAAAGTCAAACCACCAATGAAAGTCACACGGCATAGTTATTCAATGAGTATATACTACAATCAAGAACATACGGCTTCAACTACGCACTTCTAATTTCTCGTTGAACTTCCCCTCCCAGTCATCGCCAGTACAATTCGCGACATCCTTTCTTCGCACGAGAAGTGCTCGTTCCACGTGCTCCCGCGTGGTGGACGCATGGGCGAGCGGCAGTCGGAACCGAAAAATGACATGCAACAGTTCAATGACTTGACCGGCTGCAAACTTATCGGATATCTGTAACCTTAGTGATACGCTGTCCTTTTCGATTCTCAGACATGAGTGCAGGGCGTGTCCACAAGCAGATTTATCATGCCTGGCGGGGAACGTGAGCAGTTTCGATGCACACACCTACAACAATGCACCGTGAGAACGAAAATTGCCGAGCCAGAAAATGGGGGGAAAAAAAAATCACAGAATCTCGAAACTGCAGCTTTCACACTACAGTATGAATCAAATCATTGGACCAAACAAACAAACAAACAAACCCAAAACAACTTACCTATAACTGTGTTCAGTGGCGTGCGCATCTCGTGGCTCATGACAGAAGAAAGTTGCTCTTGGCCTTGGCAACGTGTTTTAAGACGCCTCAACGGTCCCCCTTCCCCAACCCCCTCCCCACCTTCCCACACTCTTACCTATAACTGCATTGAGCGGCGTGCGCAGCTCATGGTTCATGACGGCGAGGAAGTTGCTCTTCGCCTTGGCAGCATGCTCAGCCACGAGCTTGGCAGCCTTCATGCGGTCCTTGAGTCGCTGCAAGCGCTGGTAGTCTCGCTCCAGCCGCACGAGGTGCTTACCTATGACTGCATTCAGCGGCGTGCGTAGTTCGTGCGACATGACGGCAAGGAAGCTGCTCTTGGCCTTGGCGGCATGCTCCGCAACCAGTTTCGCAGCCTTCATCCTATCCTTGAGGCGCTGCATGCGCTGGTAGTCTCGCTCCAGCCGCACGAGGTGCTTACCTATGACTGCATTCAGCGGCGTGCGTAGTTCGTGCGACATGACGGCAAGGAAGTTGCTCTTGGCCTTGGCGGCATGCTCCGCAACCAGTTTCGCAGCCTTCATCCTATCCTTGAGGCGCTGCATGCGCTGGTAGTCTCGCTCCAGCCACACGAGGTGGCAGCAGATGGCCCACACGGCCAGCGCCAGCAGCGAGTAGACCACGAGCACGAAGAGCGCCCAGAGGGACGGCCACAGGTAGGAGACGGGCGGGGTGTCATAGCTGGATGGTGAGGGTGGATGGAAAAGGGGAGCAGGGAGGGGTTGGGAGGGCAGGGGGTCAGGACAGGAGGCCAGCAGCGAGTAGACCACGAGCACAAACAGTGCCCAGAGGGACGGCCACAGGTACGACACAGGCGGGGTGTCGTATCTGGATGGTGGAAGAAGCACCAACGGAGTTCCCAAGGTCTATTTGTGAGGCGTCTCAAAAACCAGCTACACTCACGCGCACTCCAGCTCGAAAGCACCAACGGAGTTCCCAAGGTCCAGCAAACGGCGCTCTGGAAAGAACGTGCCGCCCGCCGTGCTACTGCTGTTGCACGCCCCGACTCCATGCGGGCACCCTGCATGCACCAGCTGGCGCTCGCCGCGTGTAGAGTCAAACACACGCCCCACCGCTGCACCTGTCAACGGGTGGTGTGTCTGTGCCATGCAATGGACGTGGGGGCAGGGGAGGGGGTGGGGGGTGGGCGGACAGGGGGTGTGGGGGGTGGAGGACAGGGGGTGGGGGGCGGAGGACAGGGGTTGTGTTGAGGAAAAGAGGGGGGGAGGGAGAATGAGGTCATGTCATGCCATGAGTGCCCCGCATGCCCCAGGCGCCGCATGCCATGAGTGCCCCGCACGCACCAGGCGCCGCTCGCCACGTGAAGAGTCAAACACACGCGTGCCACACGGGCGTCCTTTTTTTAGGAGCCTCAAAACTTCAAGAGTCAAACACACGCGTGCCAAACAGGCGTCCACACAGCGTTGAAGGATCTACACAATGCAACCAGGAGCCCGCTAATTCGCTTTCTGAGAATGCGAAGAAACCATGGTTGTGTGGAACCATGAGCCCGCTTAGTTGCTTGCACAGCACCAGCACCAGCACCAGCACCAGCACCAGCACCAGCACCAGCACCAGCACCAGCACCAGCACCAGCACCAGCACCAGCACAAGCAGCAGCGGCAGAAAAGGCAGAAGCATCAGCATCACCAGCAGCAACGGCAGCAGCAATAGCATAGCAGCAGCAGTGGCAAATCACCTTGAAGACGGGGATCCACATGCCTCTTGACGCGACTTTTGAGGCGCCTCAAAAGGCAGTGGCAAATTACCTTGAAGACGGGGGTCCACATGCTGGCCGTGTTGAAAGTCGCCAGTATGAGCCCTCCTATCCCTTCGCCCAAATCACCCTCTGACACCTCCCCAGGCACTTCTGCACTCGCAGCACCACCAGCACCGCTGCTAACAGCAGCAGAGGCAGCGGCGGTAGCAGCAGCAGCAGCAGCAGCAGCGGCGGCGGCGGCGGCAGCAGCAGTGGTGGCGTTGCGGTAGATGGGGAAGAGCTTGATCTCCACCTCCCGGGGCTGCCCCGCCGGTGGTGCTGCCAGCAGCCCCGACGGCCCCGCTTGGGGAACGTTCCGCGCAGCTTCCCTCAACTCAGGAACTGCCAAGTGGGGAGGTATGGCGGGCATGGGACGGGAGGCAGGCAGGCAGGCAGCAGGATGGGGTAGGAGCAGGATGGGGTGGGAGGAGTAGGATAGAGCTCAACTGAAAGCAGCAACGAAAGTTGGAAGAGAACGTATTTCAGAGCTTAACACACGATGGGGGTGATGGGGGCAATGTATATTTCAGATCAGAGCACGCCCATCGCCTCACACACCTTGCAGCACGCCCATCGCCCATCGCCCATCGCCCATCGCCTCACACACGACTCCGCAGCAAGGGCAGGTGGAGAGCACTCACTGGAGAGCATGTCGAGCCCCAGAAAGGACTGGCCGGCCGGGCATGGCCCGGGGACAGAAAGAAGCAGCAAGGGAAGGTGGAGTGAGGAGCACTCACTGGAGAGCATGTCGAGTCCCAGAAAGGACTGGCCGGGCATGGGCACGTAGCGATCTGTGAAGAGCAGCGGCGCGTAGAGCGGCTGCTGTGGCATGCATGAGGCGTTGGGGGCGCTGTGGGGGACATAGGACGGGGGCCCAGGAAGGGAAAGAGGGAGAGGGGAGGGAGAAGAGAGGGAAGGGAGCGGGGTGAGGAAGAGGGGATGGAAAGGAAAGGGAATGGGGTGAGATAGAGGGGAGGGAGAGGGATGGGATCGGGGACAGGGAGAGGGGAGGGAGAGGGAAGGTAGAGGGGTCAGGGAGAGGGGAGTGGGGTCAGGGAGAGGGGAGTGAGAGGGAAGGTAGAGGGGTCATGGCGAGGGGCAGGAGAGGGGAGCGTGGGGGATCAGGGGATATCAAAACATGAGACGAGGAAAAGATGAAAAACAAGAGAACTGGAGGGAAAGAGACCAAAGGGCTGCAGCAGGTTAAGAAAGCCAGGCAGGCCAAAGCAGGCAGATACTACGAGGGGTCAAACTAGGCGGCCAAACGAGGAAGTCAGTGTTTTTTTAGAATTCTTTGAGAGTGTTTTTTGAGAATTCTCAAAAAACACACGCCAGGCAGCCAAAGCAGGCAGATACGAGGGGTGGAGCGCTGGTGGGAACGAGGTGACTTTTGAGTATTCTCGAGTCGACTCAAAAGTCACCTCAAAGCAGGCAGATACTACGAGGGGTGGAGCGCTGGTGGGAATTGACGCATCAAGCGTCTTTGACGCCTGAGTGAGGGGTGACGCAGCAGATACGCGGGTGAAGCGCATTCGTGAGTGAGTGAGTGAGTGAGTGAGTGTGCGTGCGTGCATGCATGCGTGTGTGCGTGAGCTAAGTGCCTAACAGACGCACTGTATACAGCTGCTCATGATTTCCTGCTGCTGCTGCTGCTGCTGCTGCTGCTGCTGCTGCTGCTGCTGCTTCCGCCTCATGAGTGCTTCGAAGGCGTCTCGATCGGAGCTTCTGAGGAAGGGCGCGAAGCCAACGTTGGAGGCAAATGGGCGCGAGAAGTGCGTCTGGTTGATGTAGTCCCGGAACGAGGGCTGTTTGGGGGTGAGGGGGAGGTAGGGGGGCAGCGCAGATGGGGGGCGAGGGGGCACACGGGGGAGAGGTGTGGAGCCAGGGGGGCCAGGAGGGTGGATAGTAGAGCAAGCCAGTGATTCAACAGAAGGCAGTCAAGGGGCGCGAGAAGTGCGTCTGGTTGATGTAGTCCCGGACGTGGGCTGAAGGGGGGGTGACGGGGGGCACAGGGGGGCAGGTGTGGAGGGGAGCAGGTCGGGGCGAGGAAAGCAGGAAATGCAAAGGCGGGCCAAGGGGCGGGAGAAGTGCGTCTGGTTGATGCAGTCGCGGAACGTGGGCTGTTGGGAGGCGGGCAGGGGGGCGGGCAGGGGGGCGGTGGTGGACGAGGGGGGCAGGGGGGTGGAAGAGCGAGTTTGAGGTGAGACGATTCAACAGCAGGCAGTCAGGGGGCGGGAGAAGGGCGTCTGGTTGATGGCGTCGCGGAACGTGGGCTGTTGGGGGGGCGGGGGTCAGGCACAGGGGGCGTGGTGGAGGGGAGGCGGGGTTGAGGAAGAGAGGTGATTCAAAAGCCAAAGGGCGCGACAAGGGCGTCTGGTTGATTGATGTAGTCGCGGAACGTGGGCTGGGCTGTTGGAAGGATGAGGGGGGCAGAAGAGGGGCAAGGGGGATGGTGGTGGAAGTGCGAGTCCAAGCTGAGGCGACTCAGAAGCAGACTAAGGGGCGGGAACAGTGACTCTGGGTGATGTAATCGCGGAATGTGGGCTGTTTGGGGGCGTGTAGGGGGGCAGGGGGACAGGTGGGGGGCGAATGGACCAGGAGAGTGGATAAAATAGCCAGGCAGCGATTCAAAAGCAGGCAGAGAAAAGCGCACGAGAAGTGCATGTGGGTGGGTGATGTAGTCCCGGGACGTAGGCTGTTGGGGGGTGAAGGGGGGCACAGGGGGACAGGTGTGGAGGGGAGCAGGCCGGGGCGAGGAAAGCAGGAGATGCAAAGGCGGGCCAAGGGGCGGGCGAAGTGCGTCTGGATGATGTAGTCGCGGAACGTGGGCTGTTGGGGGGGCGGGTGGGGGGCAAAGGGCGGGGATTGGGATGGAGGAGCGAGTCTGAGCTGATGTGCTGCAAAAGCAGGAAGTCAGGGGGCGGGCGAAGTGCGTCTGGGTGATGTAGTCGCGGAACGTGGGCTGTTGGGGAGCAGGAGGGGGGCACAAAAGGGGTGAGGAGGGCAGTACGTGCGTGCATGTATGTATGCATGAGTGTGTGCGTGTGTGTGAGTGTGGGCATGCATGTGTGTATGTGGATGTGCGTGCGCGTGTGCGTGTGGATTCGTGAGTGTGTGCGTGTGTGCATGCGTGTGCGTGTGTGAGTGTGCGTGCATGTGTGGGCGCGTCACATGTGCGTCTGTGCGTGCGTGAGTATGCGCGTCTGTGTGGTTGGGCGTGAGTACAACGTTCAAGCTCAACGCAACCCAAGCCAGCATGCCTGAAAGGAAACATGCCTGAAAGGAAGCAAGCCTGAAAGGAAGCAAGCCTGAAAGGAAGCAAGCCTGAAAGGAAGCAAGCCTGAAAGGAAGCAAGCCTGAAAGGAAGCAAGCCTGAAAGAAAACAAGCCTGAAAGGAAGCATGCCTGAAAGGAAGCAAGCCTGAAAGGAAGCATGCCTGAAAGGAAGCAAGCCCGAGAAGCGACATAGCAGCAAGGAAGCATGGCAGCATTTCAGTACCTCGTCGAGTCTGGCGTCGCCTTGCTTCCCAAAGTAGAACACCGTCACCAGACTCGACAGCAGCTGAATCTGCTCCCACCGCACTCCACACACGCACACCACACGTGCATCACACGCACACCCACATGCGCACATCACCACAGCGCATGCACATGCACATGCACAGCACAGCACAGCACAGCACAGCACAGCACAGCACAGCACAGCACAGCACAGCACAGCACAGCACAGCACAGCACAGCACAGCACAGCACAGCACAGCACAGCACAGCACAGCACAGCACAGCACAGCACACACACAGTGCAGTGAAATAAACACAAAGGCAGGTGGGGAAAAGGAGGAGATGTCAAGATAAGGACGCGAGCGAATAGGCGAATAGGCGGACATACAGGCAGGCGCATAACCACAATGGCACACACAGCCAGAGAACTCTTACCGACCCCACGCGCACGCCCACGCCCGCCCACACCCTCAAGCACACACGCACACACACACCCTCAAGCACACACACACACACACACACACACACACACACACACACACACACACACACACACACATCCACACAAAGGGAGATGTCAAGAGGACGACGCAAGCGAGCGAATAGGCGGAAATATGATGGCACACACAGACAGAGACCTCTTCTTGACCCCATGCCCACGCGCACGCCCACGCGCACGCGCCTACACCCACGCCCACGCCCACGCCCACGCCCATGCCCATGCCCACACACGCACGCACACACACACCCACAAACACCGGCGCATACACACAGCGCGTGCGCACTAACCTCCTGTGAGGCCATTTGAAACGTTATCTCCACCTGAGCCGCCCAATTGACCCACCCAACCCACACCCACACGCCCACGCCCACGCCCACGCCCGTAAACAGAGCACTGACCTCTTGCGAGGCCATCTGGAACGTGATCTCCAGCTGCGCCGACCAATCAATGCACTGGTTCGTTATCGCCTCCTGCCGGGGGTCGTGGTGGGGAGAGTGAGGAGAGGGGGAAGGGGGCGTGAGGAGGGGGGGAGAGGGGGCGTGAGGAGAGAGAGGGAGGGGGGAGAGTCGTGAGGAGGAGGGGGAGGGGGCGCGAGGAAGGGGGGGAGGGGGCGTGAGGAAGGGAGGAGGGAGAGAGGCGGCCGTTCCGGGGATGAATTGTGAGAATTCTCGGAATGCAAAAGTTCTTGGCGGGGAGGTGGGGGGGGATGGAGGGGGCGTGGAAGGCGGGAAGGGAGCGAGGGGGCGGGGTGCGGAGTAGAGCGAATGGGCGTGGTGAAGAGGCGTGGGTAAAGGGCGGGGTATGGCGAGGGGGGGTGGCGAGGGGGCGTGGTGGGTGGGGAGGGGGTGGACATGGCGAAGGGAGGTGGTGGGTGGGGGGGTGTGAGGGGGGGGCCGCGAGGGGGGTGTGTGAGCGAGGAGCACCAATGGTAACATGGTAACATTCCTGAACTGCTTGAAACAGGACGGACCAGCGATAGAAAGAGTCGTGTCGCCACAAATTTCTTTCAACATGACAGTATTTTATTCTTTACTGGGGTTAAGGGTACCTTTGCCCCTTCCGCTGCGCCAGTTCCCCGCAAGCGCCGTACCTTAACGCTGTTCTGCCGAGCCAGTTTCACACCTGACTTTTGCGCTGTTCCGCTGCTCCACCGTATCTTTGCGCTATTCCGCTGCGCCAGTTTTCGCCCAAAACGCCGTACCTTTGCGCTGTTCCGCTGCGCCACATAGCTCCCCCAGAACGCCAGCACCGCAATCCCCAGTCCCAGCGCCAACCAGCACATGCGCACGCAGAGTTGCGCCCACCCCGGCGCAAGACCGAATAACCGCACAGCGCGTACAGTCCACCGCGAAAATCCTTTCCGCGCAACTCCTTCCCCGTCTTCCTCTTCTTCCGCCACTATGCCGCCGCCGCTGCCGCTGCCGCCTCCGCCTGTCGCCGCCGCTGACGGCGCCCACTGGACAGTGTTTCCGCTGCGCTGTCGCGTCCCCCTTTCCCTTGCGCCGGGGAAGCACCCGGCGGAGGCTGCGGAGGCTGCGGAGGCTGCGGAGGCTGCGGAGGCGGAAAAACCGTCGCGCCTCCCAGGTTGATAACTCGAACGTTTGATTCGCGGGAAGCAACAGCAGGACACGTCAGCAATCTCAATAACCAGGTCATCATTGCGAGTCGCGTCGCCGCTGAACTCGGCTGCGGGAAAAGAGGCTTCGGAGGAATCTAGGTCGAAATGCATTAGCTTATCTGATAACGTACTATCCTGTCCCCCGTGCTGACTCGACCCCGCCGCCGGCGCTGTGACAATCAGCTGCCGCTGCTCCCCGTCTCTCTCATTCTGCTGCGAAACGCTTGAGTCGTTTCTAGGAATCGCTGCTGCCCCCCTCGAGTCACTCGAATAATCTCTTCTACGAAAGCTCGCCATTTGACGATTTTCTGTCGTACAAACCGCCTTCAGTCGCAAAACCGCTGCTACTTGCGGCGACAATCCGCTGCCTACCCTCTGCGGAACCGGCGTACTCGAACGCTGGTTCGCGCGACGCAGGTTTGCGCACAGGTGCGGAACACACGTTTGCGCAGGCTTGCGGAGGGCTCAGTTGCGGAACGCTCAGTTCCGAAACGCTCGGTTGCGGGAACGCGGGTTAGCAAAACGCTCGGTTTCGGAATGCTGGCTGTAACGCTCGCTAGGTCACTGGGCCAAAACAAGGGTTATTCAGAAGCGCAGCGGTAGATGCGGAATGCTCGTCGCGAAACCGTAATAGCACGGGCTGGCCGGCGGCAGCTGCGTTTAACGGGAAGGAAGGCGTCGCGAGCACGGCAGAGAGGATTACAGGCCCGGGGGGATAAATTAGGGTTTGCCGCTTCTTGTGCAACTTCCTACCCTATTCTACCTCCTCACAGCTTACTGACAGGTAACCTAGAACCACAATGGCGTGCTACGTCTTTTTAGACTTCAAGCGGCGCCCGTGTTCAGTTCTGTAAACGATGTTGGTTACTGCGCGAACAGTGCAGTGCAGATGCTCCTCCGAAGCTTCACGATGCGACAAGTAGACTCGAAGCTAGAGCAGAGTGTTGCCTAGGGGGGAGGTGTACACATGATGCCCAACCACTGCGCGCGAATTTGCCTTGCCCATTTCAGACACTCTGCACCCGTGTTTTTTTTCCCAGTCAGATGCACCCACGGTATAGGCACGCGGATCAACTGAATCTTAGGCGCAAAACAAACCATGCTGACCCGGTTTGTTCTTGTTTCTTGGCCAGAAACAGGCATAAACCCTAAACCCTGAACTAAAAACAACACAGACCCACCAGCACTGTTTTGGAAAAAACAAACGAGTTACAACCTGTGTTTTTTAGAAGCACCTCAACACCCTGGCGAAATGGAACGAACTGGGCGAAATGTCCAAAACGTTTATAAGCCCAGAGCACAACCCGAGTAGGGGATACTCAAACGGAAATCAGGTGTACACTGTAAACGGCTGTAACTCAATCCCCTATGCTCCGTCAACTTGGCTCGATACACCTCACCTCATCCTCTGGCACCAGAGCCTGCACGCGGCCTTCATGATGACGTTTGGCGTGGCGCTGTCGTCGTGCTTCCAGAAAAAGCTGGCAAAGGCTACTCGTAGGGCAGGGCAGGCAAGGACCACTCTTGTCTCTTCCTGCTTCCCTCACCTGCTTACCAGGGGTGTTTTTTCAGGAGCTCTTACTCGGACTGCCCTGCATATCCGGTCCGTTCAGTCACGGAATAAGTGCCAGAACCCAGCTTTGGTGCTCGGCCGTTCAGGGCTATTGGACGAACGACCACAACTATAATGTACTCCAACACAAATTTTAACTACATTTCACTATGTGTGCTTTACCCAGTTACTTCAACCAGCGCCCCTTGCCTGACGAGAATTGTGAACAGTGGTCTAAAAGAAGAGCGAGGCTCGTGGCGGTGTGGACACGTCAAAACAAAATTGGTTCGGTGAGTGAAACCCTTGGGGGTGCCCAAAGGGCAGGGATGGCAAAAAAGACCCCTGGAGCGTGTTCTTGTTCTTCGACCCCAGGACAAAACCGGTGACGTTCAACAACGTTCGTGTAATGCCAACCGCAGAGGTTTCGACGACGGTTAGCGAAACGTTTAGCAGAGCCGGGCTTCCACACGGGCGTCGAAATTTCTTGCCCTGAACGCCGAAGCCCCCGCGGTTTTGAAATGAATTGGTTTTTGCACCTGCGAGCGATAGACGAACCTTCGCGAGCTCCGCCAAACAGGCGAAAATACTCGTGTTTAGGGTGCTTCTTGTTTGGGTCACAACAGGTGGAACATGTTACAGATGTATGTTGATGCTTTGAGTACGACCCAGGAAACGCAAATCACCGTTCTACAATTTCATTTTTCGGTGGGTGTTCTACGAAGGAACGTCTTTTGGGAATTTATGGGACTTACGTGCATGTACTGTGCTTGCAGATTCAGCTCGTTGACTAAAGATACTGTATGGTCGTTACTGAATTCTTGAAAGCATCCGGCAGCGAGTCAAGTGTCTACTTACGTGCACCGGTGGCTAGGTGTACACCTGATTCCTTCTCCATTTCACCTTTGCTTTCGGGCCATAGCTCCCCACTCGCACTCGCTACGCTCAGTGCTAACGGCGTGCAATATTGCAGCGACCTGTGCTAGGCTTGAAAGATTTATAGACCAAATTACAATTTCCCATCGCCTACATTGGGCAACTGTTACGGGTGCAATTGAGCGAGCGAGCGAGAATTGCACTATCGAAGCAAAACAATACATTGACCGAAGGCATGAGCAAATGATATATAGCGAAGCTAGCGTGGTAACGGTAACGCGAGAAATTCGGGTGCGCTACGGGCCTAGCGCCGAGGTTGGGAAATATCGAGGCGGAGGTTCGGAGCGCGGGTTACCAATCGAACCGTGAGGTTGGGTCGCATCGTGAACAGTGGCGGGAGTCGTGGTCGAGGCGAGTGTCGCGAGCGGGTAACGTTTCACTGTTGGGTGCCGGTGGCGGGAATGGTCATGTACGCGGTAAGCAGGGGCGCGAAGTAAGGAAAATGAATTTTCCTTACACTACCTCCCTCCCCAAGGAGGCCCTCCTTACGAGAGCGCGTGTACATCCCGAAAGTTTCGGCTGCGAAGGTACTCGTTGAGGACAGGGTGGTTCTCGATTCTATCCAGGGGGACCCAGTTATCTTCGGTGGGCGTGCGGTCTTTCCAGCGGATCAGAAATTCGATCCTGCGGGCTCCCCGTGGGTCACGAACTCGGTGGCTCAGTATTTTTTCAGGCGTGATGATTGGCTCCGTCGGCGGTCGTGTCATGCTGGCGGGGCGGTTGCGAGGCAATTGGCTGGTGGATGGGATATACGGGCGAAGCAGGCTGACGTGGAACGACGGGCTGGCGTACTAGTGAGCAGGGAGGAGGAGGTGGGCGGTGACGGGGGTGATCATGTGGCTGATGCGAAATGGCCCGCAATATCGGGGGCAGAGTTTCGAAGTGATGGGCACGCGGAGGTTTTGAGTGTCGAGTAACACCAGGTCGTCGGGTTGGTAAGTGACGGGGCGGCGGTGGCGGTCGGCGTTGCGCTTAGCGATGACGTTTGTTTTTTTTATTGCCTCTGCTGCTTGGGTCCGTGATGCCTGTAATATTTCTGCGAATTGTTGCGCGCGTGGCACCGGGTTGTCGGGATTCGGGGTCATGGGTACTGTGGGGTCTTGTCCGTAGTTCAGGTAAAAAGGTGACTGTTGGGTCGTGGCGGATGGCGAGTTGTTGTATGCGAACTCGATGAGTGGCAGTTGCTGTTCTTACGTGGTCGGGTCGTCGCACGTGGCTCGGATTAACTGTTCCATGGTCTGGTTTGTCCGTTCTGTCTGTCCGTCAGTTTCGGGGTGGTACGATGAACTGAACAATAGTCGTGTGCCGAACTGCTGCAACAGGTTCCGCCAGAAGTTGCTGGTGAATTTCGTGCTGCGGTCGCTGATGATCGCTGCTGGTATCCCGTGCAGTCGAACGATGGCGGCGATGAAGAGGCGGGCTGATTCTTCGGCTGTGATTGATTTTTTGCAGGCTGCAAAATGTGCCATCTTTGTCAGCCGATCGACGACGACCAGGATCGCGTCGTTCCCACTTGCTCCAGCCGGTAACCCCGTGACGAAGTCCATCGTCACCTGCTGCCAAGCACGCTCTGGGGGTGGTATCGGCTGCAGTTGTCCTGCTGGTCACTGTCGTGACGACTTCATGAGCTGGTAGGTGGGACACGATGCCACGTGTCGTTGCACGTCGGCCAACATTTCGGGCCAGTAGTAATACCGCTGCTGGTGCTGCCGTGTTTTTTCTACTCCGGAATGGCCTGAGGTAACCCCGTCGTGTGCCTCCTGTAGTAACATTTCCCTTAGTATAGTGTAGCCTGGTACCCATATGCGATCGGTGCCGGCTTTTACGTAATAAACCCCCTTTGCTGCTGTGAACTGCTGCAAGTTTCCTCCGGTGAAGAACGTGTCTGTTTGGTAGCCGTGGGTAAATAG